TATGTAGCACAAGTTTGTTCGATTCTATCTAGTCGCGTACTATACATGTATATGCTGACGACTTTTAGGTCCATCAACTCCATCACGATAATGATCCACAAACACCAATCAGGAGAGTGTCGGTCTGGTTAATCTCGTCAATCCATCAGAGAGACTACAATCAGCGATGCTCTTGAAATCTATTAGGGCAGTCTTTGAGGTTTTTCGTGACTTTGAGTGGTAGGGTTCAAAAGGGAAGTGTTTACCTCTTATTACAATGCGATCAAACCGGTCACCGAATTAACTAAACTCAAACAAAACAAAACGGCAGGAAACATAAATTAGGTAACTGTCTGAGGAAGAAATTACCTCTCAAACCACCCGGTATAGAAGAATATAGTAAAAGTGTATTTATAGTTCAAGCTGAGAAGCTTTGAGAGAAGCTCGTCACACAGGGGCAGTAGTCAAGTCAACGGGTTGCAAGCTGGCAGTTGTTCAAGAGTTATTTGTGAGAACCGTGGCCTCGTGCTTCTGTTGCCAATCCGTTGTTTGAGACTTGCGGTAAGGTGTTAAACTCAGGCTGATATCACAGCGGAGAACAAAACACAGTCACCTAGCAGGTACTGCCAGGTAGTGGGCTTTCCACAGATACTTCACATGCGGTAGTAAAGGCATTAGCTGGGCGTACGAAGTTAGGTCTGTCAAAGCAGTCCACTTCTTACGAAGCACAACAACTGTCGTACTGGAAAGATATAGCTGCTTTATAAGCCAAAAAGCTTCAGTCAATTCAACTAACTCCAATTCAGGCACCGACGCAAAAGGACTATCGTAAAGTAGACAGCTGCTATAAACAGAGTTCCCACGTGTATCGGGAGACTGCAGATCTGGCGTTTCAACGCGAGGTATGTGTGCTTTAGCTTTGACCTATGCAGCCTATATGTTGTTGCAGTTGCAATATTCTGTGATCATCCGGGTGGTTCGTTATTGACAGACCCAATTTAAATCATTGAATTAACATCAGAATTCTTATTCCAACAATATTTTTATGCGCATATATCCCAGTCATCCTCAAGTCGGTTCCGGACGGTCCAAACACGGAACTCGTCAGCTTCTTTTTCGAAAAGACCATTAGCTTCATAACTGCCTGGTGATAAATAGCGCCAATTTTGCCATTCGTAGAGCAGAAGTTTCGAAAGTGTTCGCTATAAAATGAGCCATCCTTATTGTTATACAAACCGTGGCTCCCCACTGCTCTGGCTCCTGTTTCAAATATAAAACGGCATCCTCCGTATCTATTCGGTATGTCTCAATGATGCAATACAAACTTGACGCGTGAACCTGCTTACGCAAAGTAGACGAAACTGAGATCCTCTAGAGAATTACGTACAAACCCAATAATCGATATGGCGTACACCTAAATATACAGCCCTTGGTGGTTGTGTAGACAGCCCCCGCAGTTGGTCTATATGGTGTTCTTAGTCGTTCGCAAGAAAATTTGGATATCTCCCAGCCTAACGTTTCTTATAACTCTCGATGCTAGCTAAACGACCCGTAATGAAAACCCAAAGTGTGTCGAAAACACGCCGTCTGTGACTTTGAAATCCCAGTATCTTTTGAGAACTCGATTATTCGGACATTTTATAAGATCTTCCATGGTCAATGTTTAATTCGGCTTTACAGGTACTGTGGTAGTTGGATTGCTACTGTACCCATTGTAGTAGCGTCTCCTTGAAATGTGTCCTATATCGTATAGAAGTGCACTCAACGCTTTTTTGGTAAATTTGTACCAAGAGGATGTATATTCGTCACCGGAAACTTCTTTTAAGGCTTTGTCGCTTTGAATGCATAGTTTTCCGCCTCCAAATATCGATCTGCTTCAGCAGGAGATAGCAACTCACCGTCTTCTTCTTTGAAGTGTGTCCTATATCGTATAGGAGTGCACTGAGCGCGTTTTTGGTAAATATGTTTCAAGAGGTTGTATATTCGTCATCGGGAACTGCTTCTATGGCTTGCTCGTCTTGAATGCATAGTTTTCCTCCTCCAAATATCGTTTTACTTCATCAGGAGATAGCAACTCACCGTCTTCTTCATTGTACATGGTTACTACCTTTTCAACTTGATTAGGAATTCTGCTAGCCTCAGCACAATTTTTTAGTTTGTATTTATATTTACCCAAATATATTAGTAGGTGAATTGACGGCGTCTCATTCTCAGCTTGAGCTCGAAACTCTTCTGCATTTATTACGTAGGTATCATGTGGGTCAAGCGCTAGCATATTTCATCGACAGGCATGTTGCTACCCTGATTAAGGGGTAGTTTGATTAATGCTGGTTATTCTATGTGTATCAGCCTGGTTCAAGATGCTTTTACTGATCTCAAAGGTGATACTGAAAGTTCATTTTGTAAAAGGTTTTCTTCGCTCGCCCTCAACGCCATGTACTGGGTCTGTCAAAAACATTTCCTTATTATCCCCCCTATGGGGGTTATCTCTCGGTTTCTATCAATGCTTTAGTTTGAGTACTTGTTCGGATTGGACACAAAGCCACAACTAGTATCACGTTTAGCCAAGGGTTGCGGGGCCCTGGTGGAAGGTTTAACGAATTCAACTTTAACACGCCTTAAAGATAGTGAGAGAGGTATGTCCTTGACCCCATTGTTAATAGTCAACTATTAATGTAGGTTTCCATGGTGATACTCACAAAGATTTAATACAATCCTGTAGAAAAGTGCCCTACACTTGAGTTATCACTATTTCCTTGTCTAGCAAACTGAAGAATGTGGGCTTTTATGGAACAGTGGGCCAAATGGTGAAACTGGGAAGGCCAAGGATACTACTACTGAAAGGGACTTGACAAATAAATTTGGATGTAACTTCCAGATGAAGTTCATCAGGCATTATAAGTGATTTTGACCCACATGTTCTGGTGTACAACCAATTGCTCCACCATCTTTAGCTGCATATTTTAGCAGATGATGGTACGACTCACTCGCTTAAAGAATTATAAGTGGTTTGCCGAATAATTCTACTGCCGGGTCGTATCATAAAGGGTTAAGGAGTATTTCTTCACAATATACCACCATAGGTTTTGAGATTACTATAAGGTCAGCCCAGACAGCCTACTTCGCGGTAAAATCCAGTATTGGTGCAACCGTCAAAGGTCCCCTCGAAGATATATAGGCGCAGAAATCGCGTAGAATTCGTAAGGAAGAACCTTCTGCTGCACTAAACGCAGTGAGCGATTTCATCGCATATCATTTGAATACAACATATCAGGCTCCACGACCGGCAGTAAAGAATTGTAGTCAGCCCAACGAACCATTCACCGGATGAAATTTCTCCGTGTTAGTTATTTCTTCCTTGTGCAAAGCGTAAACAATTCCCATGGCTAGTATAAAGTAACATTGTGCGAATACTATTAGCTTCTTTCAATTTTGACCCTCGGGTAACAACCAAATAGAGGCGACCCACACCCGTTACTGCATAACCGCCCACGCGGGCATTTCCGATGATAGCTTGAGGCCATGACAAACACCGTGCATTGTATATCTGAAGCAACTAACGGTAATCTTTGTTTACCGTAGAATCAACCTTGCACCGCATATATGCAGAAAGCACCTGCCTCCGGAGCTGTAGATTTGAAGAGAGTGTTGCAGACGCTGTCGAGAGAACAATTGGTGTGGCAACTTTGGGGTTCATCATCCCTGTGAGTAGTTACAGAATGACTGATATGTTTTCGAAGAGACATGTCAGTGATGAGTGGTTTAGACATAGTTGGACGTTAGGCCCCACGCCAACTTCAAATACAAATTAAAAACAGAAACTCAGTTGTTTTGCAAAGCGCGTCGTGGATTCCTGTAAATGTGCTGGCAGGGCTATACAATCAGTGGAAAATCAAATGTCATTGATGTGTGCATTAAAACTTTTCTGATATTACAGAGCGGGTGCAGCTGTACAAGATATTTTGAAGACAAGGTATTTGTTTTGAACACATGTATCATTTAGATGCTTAAGATATAACAGTACGTGCGTAATTATGAAGTGGACTGAACATAAACACATGAAAAGCACTCACAAAAAATAAAAACAATACGCCTAGAGTAAGTTTGGACGTTATCCGTGGTGTGATCTGACGGCGAAGCTTTGATAAAGCATAAACTATCTACGTATTGACAATGTGGGAATTTGGCGAGCTTGCTTCATAAACTATTTCTGTGAGAATAGCGCTATATGAAAAAGACGACAACCTATCGAGTGTACTATCGAAGCCGGATAAAAATAGATACAGCCACAATGAGGCACTATTCAATAGACAACTTGTGTGTTGCTTGAAATTCAATGACTCGGAAGGTACAAATCAAACTAAATTACCTCAGCATACCACGATTGTCCATAGATACACATATTTCAAATATAAAATCATGAACTATCTGTGCACGAGTAACGTGAACTATCTGTGCACGAGTAACGTTGTATTTCGTTAGCCTGCTGAGCTAGCATTTGAGTGCCTCGGCTATGATGTTGAAGTTTTGTTCATGTTCATCATGACCCTCTGGAGAAGTGTAAAATATAAGGGAGAACGGACAAGTCCGTATATTCATATCATATAATAAAAGTTTGTATGAATCAATCTAGGCTGATTTGATTGATGTGCTACTGTTTATCACATTAACAAGCTTTGACGGGATACACTCATCGTCAGATGTTTTGTACTTTGAATCTAGGTAGAATTGATTGATGTGGTGTTATTTGTTCCACTAACAAGCATTGTTGGGGTACACTCATCGTCGGTTGCTCTGTACTTCGTATCTAGGTAGATTTGAATGGTGTGGTATTATCCATTACACTAGCCAGCATTATTAGGCTGCATCTATCTGCGGTTGTTTCGGGCTTCGAATCTTAACAGATTTAACTGATGTGGTGCAATTTATTATACTAACAAGTCACACAACCATCTTATTTACGTCCTTGCTGGTGGTAACCCTCATACATGTAAGACCCTTCGGGTCGTACACTTATTCGACTACACCCATCGTCGTTTGGGTGCCGCTTCCTGTGCCTCTAAGTAGGCATCGTAGTTGGTTCTGGCTTCACTTTTCCGCGTGTTGAGAATTCGGTCCATTTTACGGATCACACGTGCTGGTTTGGGTAATGAATACAAATAACCGTGCGATGTGAACATTAAATATCATGCACTGCAGGCGTAGTGAAGCTAACCCACCGACGGTTTGCGTATGCCAATCGAGCTTTCTTGCCAACTTAGTCCGTGCATACGCATGTGTGTGTGCGTGTGAGTACGTCAAGCTGCATCTATCTGTTGAGGATTGTGTACTGAGAGTGAGACCTCGCTTGTCTGTGGGATTGAGTGTGCGATCAGGACGCTCAGATATCCATAGATACCACATCATCGAGCCCATCCAGACCGAATACGTGCAGTGTGGAGAACCTTATACCCGATTTGGACTTTGCGCTCGCAAGTAGCTGTATGACTCTTGACCGTACAGTACTGTAACTTGGGAAGGCATGTGTGCTCCAATACATTACACGTAGCTAGCCACGATTATAGAAAGGTTCTAGAAAAATTATAGTCTCAGCACTGAGTGTAGGATTGTCTGTCACGGATACAGGACACGCTGGTAGCCTCATCGTGGTTCAACCCTCATGAGCGTACAAAACACAGTATCCACGACATTCCATACATTCGCACGCACATCCTACATTTTCATGATGATGATGATGGTATATATATATATATATATATATATTATCTGATACAACGCCGTACACACAATATACCCTGTGCTAACCCCCACTTGTACTATTCAACCACCTACATACCCACATCCTCCACTCTTTTTGTCTCAAATTCGTGCGTGTTGTACTCCGTCATCCCCGTGACAGGCTTCTTACTGGCTACCACAAACTGGAATGTGCGATCAGATTTCTCCGGTACTAAACACGCCCGCACTACATCGTCCATGTTGTAGTACAACAGTTTTTGCGGCGTATGGCGCCCATGTGCCTGCTCAGGAGATAAAATAAACGGACGTGAATTCACGTGCCGAGAAAACAGGCATTGCCATGTACATATTGTATCCAAATATGAGTCAACAAGCACGGGTAATACACTACATAAACGGGATCGATGGGAGACGTTGTATTGTAGTGTACAGAGAAGTTCCATGTGCATCGCTTTAACCGGAGGGTGTGAGGACTATGAACCCAAAAAAAATGGTCTTGTCTTGAAGTGCAATACATCGTAAGAGCTGACCAGAATCCAAGAAAATGGGTTGTTTTCCTGTCGCACAGGTATAACCCGAAGTCCTACTATTGACCCAATTATGATATTCGGTGCTCGGAAGTATGACGCCTGCGCCGCTTCAGTAGCTGCCTTGTATACTTGGATGGTACCAAATAGTGAAACAATCCGGAAAAGAGACCAAATATTATAACAATCGAGAAAAAAAGACCAAATGATACGACAATCCGAAAAGCTACCAAATATTAAGAGAATCCAGAAAAGAGACCAAACATTATGACAATCCGGAAAAGTGACCAAATTTGAAATCAATCCAGACAAGTGACCAGATATCAAAACAATCCGGAAAAGAGACCAAATATTTCAATAATCCGGAAAAGTGACAACTACGAGAACAATTTAAAAAAGATCAAAGAGAATCCCGAAATGGAACTACACACTATGCCAATTTAGAAACGTGACCAAATATTAGTACAATTTGGGAAAGGGACCAAATATTGAGACAATCCGGAAAAACAGCAGTACATGTTGGCTAATACATACGGATTATATACTGCATATATCGCAGTATTATGAATCCTATCACCTTTTTGTAACTCGACAGTTTCTCAGTTTCGCGCCACCCGTACACCGTAGAAAGGGTAACATGAATGCAATACGAAGGGACCGAAGCATGTACTGCATGTGTGAGGTATGGGCCCAGATAGGTGCATGTACAGAACATACCATGAAGAAGCACACGCAGCATATATGACAAAACAGTGTACCAGGTAAACAGGGTGACTGGAAACCATAGCAACCACAACACACAACATACCCCTAGTGTGTACATAGTTCGATAGAGCACATATATGGGAAGCAGTCCTCTAATTATACAGATACATGGCTTACATACATACGCAGGATCAACTATACAGAACTACGTGATTCAAGGTATGTTACCTTTAAACACCAAAGTGGGGCCATTCCGATAGGTACCGTGAACTTTTAAAGAGATGGACTAAGCACACACAGCAGATCGCGTGTCGCATCGCGCATCGGAAATATATAGATGAACACACACGTGTACATGCACAAAAACGTGTGTACAGACATCAATACGCAAACAATGTGTGTACATACATGAATACAAAAATAATGCGTGTGATTGAATATGACAAATATGCTTGTTTGATAATAATTACACAACGCGGGCTCCAAAGATATTTGCACATATACGTATACGTACAAAGATATATGCATATATATGTCTACATATACGTATACGTACAAATATATATGTCTAAGTAACAAGATATTTGCAAATATACGTATACGTACAAGAATTTATGTATATGTATGTAAAAGTAAAAAGATATATGCATATATACGTATATGTAAAAAGGTATATGCATACATACGCATACGTACAAAGACATATACATATATACGTATACGTACATCTTGTATGTACATTTCAGATACATGGATGTGTATACGGAAATTGATAACATTGTGTGTATGCATAGGCTGCGTGTGCATGCACACAAATGCAACATACACGGATTGTTCACACAAGCACATGCACGCATTTTTCACACAAGCACATACACACATTGTTCACACATGCACATACACTCATTATCCACACATGCACATACACGCATTATTCACACAAACACATACACTCATTATTCACACAAGCACATACACTCATTATTCACACAAGCACATACACTCATTATTCACATAAGCACATACACTCATTATTCACACAAGCACATACACTCATTATTCACACATGCACATATATGCAATATTCACACATGCACATACACGCATTTTCACACAAACACATACACTCATTGTTCACTCATGCACATACACGCATTATTCACACAAGCACATACCATTCTCAGATCGTTCCAGGTGCTGCGGGGTGTCCATGAGTTGGTGGAGTCCATGATTGTGGGGATGATAGAGAGCTTATCGCCCTCAATCACAAACACCATCTCCTCTTTTTTGCCAAAGATATTCATCTTCTTGTACACGGCAAAGGACTTGGCGATTGACAGAGAAGAGTAAAACTTATCAGCAACTTATAACCAAGCGCTTATATAACTTATAGCCAAACACTGGTGACAGTTGTTCTACAGAGAGTGACTGTTGAATTTGTAGTCAGATGGTAGACAATCACCCCCCCCCATCAATTAGATATAGCCGAGCACTTGCAGATAATCAACTGACCACTAAAACACTAAAACCCTAAAACTCTAAAACTCTAACACGCAACATAGTCGCGTTGTACAATGTGGTATACACTCTTCGAGTCTTCGAGCTGTCGGCCGGTGTGGCTGGTCAAGTATGTTTATCGCATAACACAGACATACCTCTGAAGTGTAAGTCTTGAACTTCTCCTCGCGCTCGTTCTTCTCCGCCGACTGCTCTTTCTGATGGGTGTCGCTGGGTTCGAAATCGTCCATGCGTTTACCTGTGTTGTTTCGAAAAGAGATTGCGACCCGTTAGTCTATGTATAGATAATATAGATAATATTTATATATATATATATATATATAAACACACACACACATATATATATTATATATATATATATATATATANATATATATATATGTATAGTATATTATATATATATA